ATTTCCTCGTAGCGCGGCTGATAAGGCTGCTGCAGGCGAGGATTCCCTAGAGTACCCGTCGCCAGAGAAGATCCTGGGAAGGAGGGATGGCGCCTCTAGCGGCGCTTCGCGCGAGCCCTCGCGCGAGCCGAGCTGCGAGAAGGCTGCCTCCTCCTCCCACGTGATGATCGACCTGTCTCGGGATGAGGAGCCGACGAACGTGCTCCTTCCCGAGAAGGTCGAGGACGCAGAAGGGGGGAAGGGTGGGCCTGGACAGCCCTCTTCCGTCCCCAACCTCGGGCTGCCCGAGATTAGAATCGAGAGAGTCGATCGGCCCCGGAGGATGGGGAAGTCGCCACCGGAGCTGAACAAGTTCTGGAGGCGCTCCCCTTCCCCGGGAGAGCTGGATGATGCGGAGATGGCGGACCCGAGTTCGCTCTCCGATTCGGAGGAGGAGGAGCCGCGGGTCCGAAGGATCCCAGCGGCCTTCTCCCCGAAGGAAAAGGCACTGGCCGCGAAGCGGCTCGAGGTTATTCGTGGAGGCCGACTGTCGGAGATCGCGGGGCGGTCGGACGGTTGGCTCCACGAAATTGATGACTTGCGTCGGACGGTTAAGGCGCTGAGATCGGGGCCGGCGGGCCGGCGGATCCGGGTGAATGTCTTCCTCCTGAGGGAGGCGATCCGGATTTTGGCCGGCCGGGCCGTGGCGGCGGGTACGTCCCCGCAAAGAAAGAAGATTTCCTCCATCGAGGCCGAAGCGTCGGCCTTGAGGGAGGAACTCGAGCGATTGACCGGCGACATGGTGGAGATGGAGAGGGCTCTGGCTCAGGCCAGGGAGCCCCCCCCGGGTCCTGTGCCGCCGGTGAGTCCGACTCTGGGCACCTCAGGCGTGAGGAGCCGGGCCGGGGAGGGGGCGGCTCCCGACAGAACGGGAGCGGCCCCTTCCTCGGCTCAGGAGACGGTCGATCCCCCTCGGGGCCCCCGGTGCACGAATTGCATGGTGGTCGCGAGGGGGTTCGAGGAGAGGATTAGGAGGCTGGA